TGATTTGTTTCGTTTTAGTTTTAGTTTTAGTTTTACGGGACTTGCAACACAATAATAAAGTCAAGTAAGTGCCAAAGATTTGAGGTGTTGCAAGGGAATGACAAACACAAAAAAGAAGGAGGGGAGATAAGGACGATAGTTTAGTTTTAGTAAGAGTTTTACAGCACCTGCGACACAATAAAGCCCCGAAGATTAGATGTCTTACAAGAGAATAACAAACACAAAAAAGAAGGAGGGTAGCTGATAAGGATGATAGATATTTGATAGGAAAGAAGGAGCAGACCACACCAGAGCACCTGTGAACAACCCATGGTGAATCGTTTGTTTGAGAAAAGAGAAGCACATGGACACAATAATGGTCATTTAGTAGGGCAGGGGAAGATGGCATGTTCTATGAACAGTCTACTACACGATAAAGAAGACCTCCAATAAAACAAAAACAAAACTCCTCTTCAACGAAACAATACGTCATCAATCTACTTTGAACATTTCCATTGAAATGATCAAAATGCACTTTAGATACTTTAAAATTCCACACAGAAAAGTTTTGTAACTTTGAGCACATTAAGGGAAGCAACGTAACCGAAGCTACAAGAGAATACAAAAAGTGACCCACACTAAAACCGAGTCCTGGTGAGCCAGTAAAGTTTTTGTTTAGTTTAAGTAAGTGTTTTACGGCACTTGCAACACAATAAGGTCATATATAAGTGCCGAAGATTAGAGGTGTCGCAAGCGAGTAACAAACACAAAAAAGAAGGAGGGGACATAAGGATGATAAATGTTGGACAGGAAAGAAGAAGCAGGTGAGCCAGTAAAATTTGGTGGCTTTGAGAAAATAAAGGAGAGCAGACATAGATCTCTGAAACTACGAGCGAGAGAAGAGCGAAAGCTGCACATACTCGAACCAACGCCTGGTGAGCCAGGGGCAGCAACTGGATGCTGGAGTCGAAGTGTAGGTGTATCCGCAGGGGCTGGTCCAGGCTGCGTTTCTTCAACACGTGCTCAGGCTCCAGGTGCACATTGTAGAACACTTCCTGCACACACACCACAGGAAGAGGAGTTTCGAAAAAAAGTTTTAGTAAGAGCTTTACATGTTGTTGTTGTTGTTGTTTTCAAATCCCTTTAAGCTGAGAGCATTTCGCTCTTGGCAGCGCAATGCCTCCCTCAAGTAACCACATGTCCTTGTCATCTGGTCAACGCCAGAGTAGAGCAGGCTTTATAAGTCTGTAGGTGTGTGTAGGAGCTTGCGTCGAAGAACTGCCAGGTTTGGGCAGTGAAGTTGAGTTTTACATATAAATGCCAAACATTAGATTATTCTTGTGAGAGTTTTATGGCACTTGAAACACTATTAGGTCATATATAAATGCCAAAGATTAGATTATTCTTGTGAGAGTTTTATGGCACTTGAAA